TAGCCATACAAAGTACATAGGCATTTATTACAATAGTTCAATGCTAAAAATGCCAATTAATCGTTGGGATTTAAACATAACAGTTACCATATCAATGGACTTATATAGACTTTTTAGTTTAACCATATTAAACTGTAAGGGTGGAGTCAGTTTCACAATAGTAAATTGCATGAATGGAATCAGTCAATCCATTACATTTTTGTTTGCTACAATTTTTTTTTAAGTTTTTTGGGTTCCGATGCAAAAATTGGTATAAACCCTGGTCATGATTTATGTCCCCTTGTAGAGGGTATTTTGGTCGACTTAGTGGAGTCATCCAGGTGTAACTTTAACCATTTGTTTTGTACATGTTGACATCACTCCAACTGTTATTGTCCCAATAGTCAAATCGTTATATGAACAAAACTTATTTGATAGGCAATTCCAACAATCTTCAAACAAAAAAATAACATTTTTTTTTGCCAAAACTGTCCCAAAGCCTAATTATACATAATGTAGTTTGGGTGGGACTCAATGGCTCTATACTTGTCAAATCAATGACTAATCAACAAAGGGTATTTTGGTTTTATTTATTCTTGTTAACCAAATTCTTAACAGGTACAAATTAACAGAAAATTACAACCTGTTACATCTAGACACTATCCTTTTCAAATTCAATTCATGTGACTATCATTTCTAAAAATAGTTTTGAGTTCTTGAATTAATATTCTAAAGATATGGTTATGGTTGATCATTTAGGCCTATCATTTCTAAAAATAGTTTTGAGTTGTTGAATTAATATTCTAAAGATATGGTTATGGTTGAGGATTTAGGTGACGATGTTTGTGAGGGTCTTCCTTTCTATTGTATCCTTTTCTTTTTGTTAAATAAGAATTGCAAGAGTGTCTCCCTCTTCCCCAAGAAAGAAAAAGAAAAACCAAGTACAAAATATATTAATAAGTCACCAGTAAATACTTACAGTAACATATTTTCGTTTTATGATGACTATTACTTAACTGTAGACATACACTAGCATGAAAACACTGATCATTATATAATCATAGTCACACATTCATTGACCATACTATAATTATACTGATCACACATTTTTTTCTTCTATAACTAGATTTACCTATAGACACACATAATAATTTCAACCATAACCAAATGCTACTTACAGTCATATTTTTTTTAAAAGACAATTCATCATATTTTGACACACATAATAAAAGGTACGTGACCATAAACCACTAAAACTAAATTGTTTGTCTAAGTCACTAATAAACATCATCCTATGGACACACAAATATTTAATGTGACCATATGTATCGTCTGTTAGCTACATTGGATTTCATGTGACTAGAAACGTACAATAATACACAAACATATACAATTGCCTTATGTGACCATATATTTATCTATTATATCTTATAATTTTTTTTATCACAATGTTAATTGATACAGATGGGTAATGGTGACATATGGCCACATTGTTAGAGTGTGGCTAATAATTGCCAAATTTGTTATAATTAAGTGTGGTTAAGGTATTGATTATCTATACAATGACCACACAAACTAATTTAAATGAATACAAAAACTGTTTCTAATTTTTAGCAGTGACATTTGGCCACACTTTTAATGAAAAGGGTGATAGGCCTTTTTTTGAAAAGTGTGACCGTATGTCCATTTTGTACTAGTGTCAAGAATAAAATTATGAACCCTAAATGTGAGGAACACACACGAACAAAATCAATTCGAGTTCAAGGGTTCTCTGAAAGCTATGAACGAACAAACCCTTCTGAAAGTTATGAACAAAGATCAAAAACCAAAAAACAAAGATCTGAAACGAATTCATTCATGTATTCATGTGTTTCAACGAAGATCTGAAACAATTAGTAGGGGTTTTTTGAAAACCTGCCATGGATGTGTTTGAAAAACCCAAAAAACTCAGAGAGAGAGAGAGAAAGAGAGAGAGCCCAAGTTATTTATATTCTTTTTCCTTTTTGTTTTAAAATATATTTAAAGAAAGAAAATCAAAAATATATTAAAAAAGGTAAATAAGTCTTTTTATGTGGGTGGGAGACTATTTGTTAAAAGTTTTAAGACCACATAGACTATTTGTTAAAAGTTTTGAAACCACAGGGACCAACTATGAGTTTTTTTAAACTTAGGAACTATATCCTAAATTTCGGGAAACTACAGGACCATTTATGAGTTTTTTCTTAATAGTTTAATATGAAGAAGTTGCAGTTAGTCTTAAGATGTAAGTAGAATAAAAAGTATATTTGGTTTTTAAAGAGTGGGGTCATATATGTGTTTTATATATGCTTGCAAGATGTGGGTTTTTATATTATTAAGTCTTAGTTTTTTTTGTACCTTTGTTTGATTTGTTGGAAAAAGTTCACCAAAGTTTCACATTTTGAAACAAAAACCAAAACGTAATACAATTTTACTGAAAAGTACGAAATAAGGATATTAAAATTAAATAGTTTAAATGAAGAGGTTGTTGGTAGTCTTAAGATATAAGTAGAATAAAATAGTTAAATTATAAATTTCAGTATAATTTAAATGGTTAACTTAAATCAAAATTTTAGTTAAACTTGAAAAAAATTTAGAGACTATTTTATAAATAGTTAAATGTTATAAATTATAGTGTTAACCCTAAATTGTAATCGTAAGTTAACAAAATAAAAGACCATGAAAATATTTTTTATAATTATTAAGAATATTCAAATAAGTAGCTTAAAAATAACTTACCATAAGAATAGTTAAAAGTAATATTATATAAAAAACTATAATGTTATATTTAAAAACAAAAACAATATTTGTTGTTTTAAATAATTACAATCAAATAAACTAATAATATTCATCAAATAAATTTTATAAAAGTTAAATTTCTGAAACCAAATTAAAATAATTAAGAGTTTCCAAATACATTCTTTTAAATAACTTACAACAACAATAACTAAAAGCTACATTATATACAAAAATTATATTGTTACATTTAAAAACAAAAAAATATATGATGTTTAAAATAATTACAATGATAGAAATTAAAATCTTAAGCAAATAAACTTTTTAAAATTAATTAATCATAACAACATCTATAAATATCATTAAACTATATATTATATTTAATTTTATTAATGAGTAACCCGCAGGTAGAGGCCATTGAGACAATTGAGATTATAAAATTTTAAAAGATGTCTATATTATCATATAATTCCAAATAAACAATGTTTATACCAACTTATTATAATATTTATTCTATAAGAGTTAACAACAACGTTATTGATATATTTAAAAAACATATATTTGTAAATATTTTAGATATATTGTTGTATTTTGCGCAATGCGCGGGTATTCGTCTAGTTTCTATATACAATGAGGTTGAGATACTGATTGTGAGTTATAGATCATGGAAGAAATTGCAAACTGATTGTCATATATTTGTGAATATTGTTAATTACTGCAATCTAGAAAGAAATAAAACAAGGGCTCTCCCTCAACATATATATTGATGGCCATCAGATTTTCCAAAGACATGATATTTAATGTTAAGCAAGTTTTAATTGCCAAAGACATCATAAGAACATTAAACAGCTACAAATATAACTAAATTTGGTTCACATTTTAACGTTTAATGTTACCTAATACCATTGCCTGGGAACCATTCTTATCTCATTCTGTATTGGGTGTGTACAAATTTTTGGGGCAGAACTAACAAATGTTCGGAGACATTTAGTTTCTATAAATATTATTTGCTTTCAAGTACTCTATGATATCACAACACTACGAACAAACCAGACAGCTGACGCGGCAATAAATTCAAAAAAAATCATTCAGGCATTTCTTAACATTCATTAGACTCACATGTACAAATGATTCCTCCCTCTCGATTCAATTTTTGACCATTTTGCCCCAGGTGTTGCTTTGGTGAAATTCAACTGTTTTTGTCGTGCTGCCCTTGCTTTCATCTCAAAGCTTCATGTGCACAATTCTTTCTTACGATGCAGAGATATCAAAGTTTATAGTTTTCGTGGTGTTGCTTCGTTTCAAGACTTAATTCCACCTTTCTTCTGGCTGCCGAATTGGGAGAATTTATCAATTTGAGAGGTATGTTTGCTTTTGGAAATAACGTTTTATAAGAATTACTTGGAAAACAAATATAAATGTAATCGAAGTTATATTGCACTTTTTATTCCATCAAAAAAATCTGTGGCGAATTCTGTCGCTAATATGTGGAGATAAGGACTCTATGAGAAACAAACAATAATACAGCTGTATTGCACTTTAAATTTATTTATTTATCTTCATTTTACGTTTTAGACACTTCAGGAGATAAAAGGAACTAACAGATGAAATGAAATAGATTGCAGGGAACAATAAGAACATTAGTTTGTATTTAATTATCTTCATATTTATATTCTTTTCCGGTTTTCCCTCATTCACACTTTCAAGGAACACTCCATGTCCATTTGTTTTTTGGATTCTTTTAAAGGGCCCTATGTGGCTATGTCCCTGTCCCCATTGACCCATTTCACACAGTTTTCACGTGGATCATCTGCATAATAATAGTAGTCTCACATACATAATTAATTATGAAGTAAAACACACTTGGAGTGAAATTTCTATTAGCATTTATCAGAAAACAAAAATAAATGTGTCTAAATGATCAAGTTAAGTTATATTATTACATTGTTAAATCCAACAATAACATATAATACCACATGGATTCTTTTTGTAAACCTCACGCCTTTCTAAATTTCGGTGACAATGAGTTATATTATTCTAAAAGAAGGATTAATATCATGACAGATAGATACAATTCAAAGTGTAATACACACCTTTGTGGAAAATTTTGGCACGTTAAAAGACACGCCTTGTGGAAAAATATGACATTGTCCAAATTTCCATTTCGAGCATGTGAAAAAGAAAACAAGAGAAAAAGGTAGCTCAGCTATAAATTAGGACGAGCAAACCATTCATTTTTTATTGAAAGCAACATGGCAAAGCAAATAATGTCTTCATCAAACTTCCTACTTTTCTCTCTAACTCTACTAATCATCATACTCTCCCCCATACCATATTTTACTTCTGCTTCTTTAGAGGAAGCTAATGTTCTTCTTAAATGGAAAGCAAGCCTTCAAATCCCAAAAAACTCCTTGCTCTCTTCATGGATTCCCTTCCCTTTGAATTCCAGTGCATCAGTTCCATGCACTTCTTGGTTTGGAGTAGTTTGCAATGCTGATGGGAGAATTCAGAAGTTGAACCTCACATCATCTGGATTAATGGGTACGCTTCATCGATTTTCATTCTCTTTGCTACACAATCTTACACATTTTAATCTCAGTCTAAACAACTTATATGGCCCCATCCCAGCAGAAGTAAGACACTTGTCCAACCTTGTATATCTTGACTTTTCATTGAACAAGTTTTCTGGAGTAATCCCACCAGAAATAGGAAACCTGCACCAGCTAACCATCTTGTCCTTATACTCGAACAATATCTCTGGTCCCATTCCTATTGAACTTGGCAATTTGAAGTCTCTCACTCATCTTGTGGTGTACAAAAATCAACTTAGTGGTTATTCCTTCATCATTGGGTAGTTTGACATCTTTGAATGTCCTTTATTTGTACCAAAATCAACTCTCTGGCCCCATTCCTGTTGAACTTGGGAATTTGAAGTCTCTTGTTGAGCTTGACATGACTGAAAACCAACTTACTGGTTCTATTCCTTCAGCATTGGGTAATTTGACATCTTTGAAACTCCTTAATTTGTACCAAAATCAACTCTCTGGTCCCATTCCTGTTGAACTTGGGAATTTGAAGTCTCTCACTGATCTTGAGGTGAGCATCAATCAACTTAGTGGTTCTATTCCTTCATCATTCGGTAATTTGACATCTTTGAATTTCCTTTATTTGGACCACAATCAACTCTCTGGTCCTATTCCTCCTGAACTTGGGAATTTAAAGTCTCTTGTTGATCTTGTGGTGAGCCTCAATCAGCTTAGTGGTTCTATTCCTTCATCATTCGGTAATTTGACATCTTTGAATATCTTTTATTTGGACCAAAATCAACTCTCAGGTCCCATTCCTGCTGAACTTGGGAAATTGAAGTCTCTCACTTATCTTGTGGTGTACTATAATCAACTTAGTGGTTCTATTCCTTCATCATTGGGTGATTTGACAAATTTGAATGCCCTTTATTTGGACCATAATCAACTCTCTGGTCCCATTCCTATTGAACTTGGGAATTTGAAGACTCTCACTCATCTTTTGGTGTACAACAATCAGCTTAGTGGTTCTATTCCATCATCCCTAGCAAACCTCAGCAACCTACAGTGGCTAACCCTCGGTGATAATAAATTATCTGGTCCCATTCCTAGTGAACTTGGGAAGTTGAAGTCACTCACTCATATTTCGGTGGTCAAAAATCAGCTTGGTGGTTTTATTCTTTCATCATTTGGTGATTTGATATCTTTAAATCTCCTTTATATGCATCAAAATGAGCTTGCTGGTCCCATTCCTGGTGAACTTGGGAAGTTGAAGTATCTCACTGATTTTCGGGCGAACAACAATCAAATTAGTGGTTCTCTTCCTCCAGAGTTTGGAAATTTAACTCAACTACAAAGACTTAATCTGTCTTCGAATCATTTGGTTGTTGAGGTCCCAAAGGAGTTTGGGAAGATGAAAAATATGTTGGATTTGTCCTTGGCTGGCAACCAACTTTCAGGTGTTATACCTCTAGAGTTTGGATTTTGTGAGCTCCTTGAAGTACTTGATCTATCCAAAAATAGATTGAATGGGTCGATTCCAAGAAGTATCGGTCAATGGGCACAAATCCACTACATGAATATTAGTAATAACAAACTCAGTGAGAAAATTCCATCTGAGATTGGTAAATTAGTTCATCTTGCGGAACTCGATTTATCTCATAATTTTCTCACGAAAGAGATACCATCTGGAGTTCAAAGTTTGCAAAGTTTGCAAAAATTGGATCTATCTCACAATAGACTATCCGGTTCTATTCCTGATGCTTTTATGAATTTGCCTAACGGGATTTATATCAACCTTTCTTACAATGAGCTCTCAGGTCCAGTCCCCTCTTGCGCTAACTTTGTGAATGCGTCCTTAGAAAGCAATCCAGATTTGTGTGGGAATGTTACGGGATTGAAACTTTGTCCAAGTCAGATTATGAAGAAGAAAAATGATCCCTTCCATCATAAGCTTATCCTTGTAATTATGCTCCCTCTTATCGGGGCTCTTATACTTGGTGTATTCATGTATGGCCTCATTGCTTATCAACAACAAAAGAAAAAGTCTCCACACAAACCATCGGATGAAGAAAGTGGTGATTATTTCTCAATCACAAGTTTTGATGGAAAAGTAGTGTATGTTGATATCTTGAAGGCAACAAATGATTTCGATGAAGCATATTGTATTGGGACAGGAGGATATGGGACTGTGTACAAAGTCGAGCTAGAACCTAACAATGTGGTAGCTGTCAAGAAACTTCACCCATCATCTGAGAATGTTGATCATAATGGATTCCTTAATGAGGTACGAGCATTAACGAACATAAGGCATCGAAACATAGTGAAACTCTATGGATATTGCTCCCATGTTCGCCACTCATTTTTGATTTATGAATACCTTGAAAAGGGAAGCCTTGGATCAATCTTAAGAAGCGATGTCTTGGCAAAAGAATTGGATTGGTTGAAAAGAGTAAATATTGTAAAGGGTATAGCTAATGGTTTGGCTTATATGCATCACGATTGCTCACCTCCTATAATTCATAGAGACATTTCCATTGCCAACATCCTTCTTGATTCCGATTATGAGGCACATATTTCTGATTTTGGGACCTCCAAGCTTTTAAAGCTAGACTCATCCAACTGGACCGCAATTGCAGGCACATATGGTTATATCGCGCCAGGTAACACAATCTTGTGACTGTACTTCTACGTCTTCTTAAGTCTCATGGTATACATAAATAAGTATATGCACATATATGTATCTATGTCAGAATCTTGTAGGTTGATATAGCTTTTTTGTTTTTATCTCATGTTCCTTTGGATGTAGAGCTTGCTTATACGATGGTGGCAAATGAGAAATGCGATGTGTATAGCTTTGGAGTTGTTGCAGTAGAAGTGATAATGGGAAAGCATCCAGGAGATCTCATAACGTCTTTACCAACATTATCTTCTGATTATCTGGTGCCAGAAGAAAATGTGGAAGATAGTCGGATACCTCCTCCCTCATCCCAAGTTGAGAAACAAGTTAGGTTGGTTCTGAGTCTATCAAGAGCATGTTTGAACTCCAATCCACTTGAAAGACCAACAATGCAGCAAGTTTCAAATCTGTTAATGAAGGATCTGTTTTGAATTGACATCTCTTGCCTGATCAATATAGTGTACTTTCAGTGTTCTTTACTTTTCTTAAGTTCTCTATATGCACCTTGCCAATATGTATTCATGTGAATGGCTTTTTGTTAAGAAAACTTCACATATGTTTGTGGTAGTAAAGAAATAAGTCAATGAAGATTGCTATACTTCTAAAAACACACCACTAGAAACTAAGGACAATGCCATACACACATCCTCCAAACAAAAATTACGTAAACTTTTGTTGGTATGCTTTTTATATTGGTTTCAATTTTTATTTATTTAGTAAGTTACACGTTTTAAAATGAATCATTATTTTAACGATGTCATACTTTTTAAAAAAATATCTGTCATACGGTTTTATCCTCGCACAACATGTGGGTACATACATGGTTAATATGATATATGGGCCATAACTTGGGTCGTACATAACGTTATATAACCCGTACCCCACCTAAGTCCTTCAAATATACAATATATATTTCTATTCTAGATTATATGAAGAGCAATCAAAAATAATGTTGAGATATGTCATTGGAGAATTTTATCAAACACATGGCTTTATAGATGAGATGTGTCTTTACAAAGATGGAAAATTTTAAACATTAACAAAAAAAATCATATATCAATGCATTTTAAACATTCTGGAACATTTTTGACTCACACTCCATTCCTAGCATGCTTTTTAGCTATTGAATTCCAAATTTGACAGCCTAAAACATTTACACAAGAGAACTAAATAAATAGTTCAACTAAAACATACATGACTAATTCTAGTTATTGGTATGCATTTCACTTCTCTTTGAAATACGACCAGAATAGGAGTTCATGTGAATTCAACTTCTTACTGGTTTATGTCTGATCTCCCCTTCATTTACTTTCAACATGATATGGCATGAAGATGGATGTAATGTTAAATGATTTTATGTATCACAAAATATGTCAAGCTTTGGCAACGTAAATACCTCAAAAATGTGACATCCATCTTGTATCTGAAGATATCATGTCACCACCCACTATGATTGCCATTGGCCTAATGTCCATAAAGATTGGTAGGGAATCAGTGTTTATTTCTTATGTTACACGATTACTTGAAAACTGTTATCTGGAGCATTGTTACTGCAATCTGGAAACAAATAAAACAAATATGAATTTGCATATTCAGCATGATTTGGTTGTGGTTTCTGCACTTGGGAATCTGGAATTAGTTTTGTCAATGGTGTCGAAACCCTGGTCTTCTTCAGGGATGTTGCGTACTTCTCCAAACAGGGGTATGAAAGTAGAATTGTTGGGAGCCTTGTTCTATACAGTTATATGGTCTCTTTGTAAACACGCAATTCCAGAGTTTTTAATCATCAAGATAAAGTGTTTGAAGATTCAATTGCTATCCTTCAACTGGGTAAATAGCAGAGGAAGTAGATTCAAACCTAAAAGGGAAAACTGGTGCAATTGATCCTGTTTCTTCCTGACTGCATTCTCATGGGAGGGGGGTTGTCTGGTGCTTAAAAGCATCTTGGCGTTTGCGTTTTCACAGCCTTTGCAGATTGAATCGGCAACTGTTTGTTTTTATCAGTCAGTATGTTTGTTTTCATGTAACTCTTTTATAGGGTCTCTTATGTAAGTTTGTTCTCTATATATTCAATTGCCTCCTCCCGTTTTGGGCAGTGAGTCATTTTACCACATTGTATCAGAGAGAAAAACAAAATCCCTCTCTTTTCACATCCCTCTTCTGCCGCTGCTAATCTCTTCCTCTCCTTTTCAGTTTAATCTTTTCTTCTCCCCATGTCTTCCTCATCTTCTTCCGATCCCACCATCACCATGAATTCTATCCTTCATCTTCTCACAATTAAACTATCATCCTCTAATTACCGATTATGGAAAAATCAAATTTCACATCTTCTCTCCTATCAGAACCTGTTTGATCATGTTGATGGTCATCTACCCCTCCTACCCCTATGCTTATGGTTGCAGGAAAGATGGCTCCAAATCCAGATTATTCCGCTTGGATGTCGGCAGATCAACGTGTCATAATCATCATTCAGGCCTCACTCACCGAGGAGGCTTTCTCGGAGATTGTGGGTCTTTCCACATCCAGAGAGATTTGGCTTGCCCTCGAACGAGCATACGGCAACTTCTCCATGGAACGGGTGCAAACTCTACGTGATCAGTTACGCCATTTAACTAAAGGTACATCCACGGTTTCAGATTTTGGAAGAAAATTTAAAGCAATCTGCGATCAACTCGCTGCCATCGGTCACCCGGTTGATGAAACTGATAAAACTCATTGGTTTTTATGTGGTCTCGGAGCTTCATTTGAAGCCTTCTCCACAGCTATTCGTGCCTCCCGGATGCCTTCTGTTTTTCGTGATCTTTTAGCACAGGCTGAGGGCCATGAACTGTTTTTGCGGACCATACATAACAATGATACTCAGCCTCCGGTTGCTTTCTCGGCTCAGCAACATCAGTCTGCTACTTTCCCTTCTGCACCTCCAACATATTTTGCTCCTTCTGGATATCGTGGTCGTGGTTATCGTGGCTCTCGTGGGGGGCGTGGACGTGGTCGTCGCCCACCACATTGTCAGCTATGTCGCACTAACGGTCATTATGCGTCGTCATGCCCTCGTCTTGCTTCTTTTGCTGTCTCTCCACCGCCCACTGACATGGATCTTGCTAGGGCTTTCAATGCTCAGTGCTCTATTCATCCTTCACATCCCGATTGGTATGTTGATTCGGGCGCTACCGATCACATGGTTTCATCTCCCGGATCTGTGCATAAAACCGAGCCCATTAGTAGCGAAGCATCTGTTATGTTTGGTAATGGTATTTACTTACCTGTTTCTTCTATTGGGACATCTTCAATCGCTATTGGTCTTCACTTGGGCGATGTGTTGGTGGTTCCCCATCTTACGAAAAATTTATAATCTATTAGTAAGCTAACTCATGATAATGATGTGGATGTGGTATTTTCCAAATCTTCATTTTTTATTCAGGACCGCATCAAGAAACATGTGCTAGCTCAAGGGCGATGTGAACATGGTCTCTATATTCTCATGTCCTCTCCACCGCCGTCTGCGTTTTTTGTGCAGTCTAGGCCACAAGACTCTTATGAACGTTGGCACTTGCGATTGGGACATATTTCTTTTGATATAATTAAAATGTTAAATAAATTGGGACATTTATCAGTTTCATCCATTTTACCAAAACCAGTTTCATGTTCTCCGTGCCAACTTGCTAAGTCTCACCGACTTCCGTTTGTGGAAAATCCCAAACGGGCGTCACATATTTTAGACTTGATTCATTGTGACCTTTGGGGTCCGTCACCGGTTTTTTCCGATGATGGATATCGTTATTATGTCACGTTTATGGATGATTTTTCTCGGTTTACGTTGTTTTACCCACTCAAAGTCAAATCTGATTTTTCCAAGGTTTTTGATACGTTTATTAAATTTGTTCAGACACAATTTGATACCAAAATCAAGATTTTTCAAAGCGATGGTGGAACCGAATTTTTAAACCACAAAGTTAAAAAATTACTTACTGAAAATGGCACATTTCATCAAATATCGTGTCCATATACTCCGCAACAAAACGGTCGTGCGGAGCGTAAGCACCGTCATATTGTGGAAATAGGGCTTGCAATGATGTTCAATGCTCATATTCCACCATCTTATTGGGTGCATATCTTTAGCACTGCAGTTAGATTATCAATTGTTTTCCTACGAGAGTATTGGCTCACCGCTCCCCCTTTGAGCTTTTATTCAATCGGACTCCGTCCTACATGAATTTTCGGCCACTTGGATGTCGTGTTTATCCCTACTTACGAGATTATTCTGATCACAAGCTTTCGCCACGTAGCATACCGTGCATTTTTTTGGGTTATCATGCTCAATACAAAGGATATAAATGTCTTGATCCGGTCACTTCTCGAATATTCATAACATGACATGCCCGTTTCGATGAGGATACCTTCCCTTTTGTCACCCACAATGCTCCCACACCTCTCACTCAATTATCCATACACTCGTTATTTGATGACTATCCTATCAAAACCCCACACCCTATCACCCCACCATCTGTGGTGTCACCATCTTAGCCCCCACCTACTGTGTCATGCACCTTGTGTGTGCCACTGGCCCCCACACCTCCCTCCAATCCTCAACCGCCCCCACCTATCAGTACGCCTTCGCCCCAACCTGATGACACCAACTTCATCAGCTCACCCCAATCGACTTCATCTGAAGACAGCCTTCCGGACAACCCTCATCCAAGCTAGTCATCCTCTCCGACTTCACCCCATAGCCCTCCTTCACCTCCTACCCATGGGCATCCCATGATCACTCGAGCCAAGGCCGAAATTTTTAAACCTAAGCATCGTGCAACCATCTCCTATGTGCATGATCAACCGTTACCCTCGACTCTCTTTGCCTCTCGGGATCCCACACACCATTCCGAAGCCATGGGCACCACCGAGTGGTTACGGGGCATGCAATCTGAAATGCAAACTCTTCATTTAAATCAAACATGGACGCTGGTTCCACCACCTGTCGAGCACAATATTGTGGGTTGTAAATGGTTGTTTCGTACAAAATTTCGTGCTGATGGTTCTATTGAAAGATACAAGGCGCGCTTAGTTGCACAGGGATACAGTCAAGTTCATGGTCTTGATTTTTCCCACACATTCAGCCCAGTGGTCAAAGCATCTACTATTCGTGTGGTATTATCTTTGGCAGTCATCAATAATTGGTCCCTGCACCAGCTAGATGTTAACAATGCTTTTCTCCATGGCACATTGAGTGATACGGTCTACATGCAACAACCGCCCGGCTTTGTTGATCCTCATCATCGAAACTATGTCTGCCGCCTACATTAAGTAATATATGGTCTCAAACAAGCTCCGAGGGCATGGTTTCATCGTCTTAGCTCATTTCTTCTCTCAAATGGGTTCACGTGTAGTCGGGCCGATCCTTCATTGTTTATCTTTAAGCATGATGATTCCATCTTGCATTTACTTGTTTATGTTGATGATCTCATCCTCACAGGTAATCGCCCTGATCTCATTCGATCCTTCATTGAAAAATTGGATCATGAGTTCAAAATCAAAGATGTGGGCAGGCTCAACTACTTCCTTGGACTTGAGGTTCTCCACACGGATTCATGCCTATTCCTTGGCCAATCCAAATATGCTCATGATATTGTTTCACGTGCTGGGCTTCTTGATTCTAAACCTGTTTCAACACCTTTATCTTCTGCGACACCTCTTGTTCTTGATGGTCCAAGCTATGATAATCCAAGCCAGTATCAGTCACTAGTATCAGTCACTAGTATCAGTCACTTGTAGGTGCTCTTCAATACTTAACGATCACTCGACCTGATATTGCCTATGCGGTAAATCAAGTGAGCCAATTTCTCCAGGCTCCTACTATAGCTCATTTTCAGGCAGTTAAAAGATTAATTCGTTACATCAAGAGTACTCTATCATTTGGGTTAAGCTTTACTCGACCCACCTCTACCAATCTTGTCGGTTATTCGGACGCAGACTGGGCTCGATGCCTTGACACTCGTCGCTCGACATATGGCTACTCGATATTCCTGGGGGGGGGGGGGTAATCTTGTATCATGGAGCGCTAAGAAACAACCCACTGTTACACGATCTAGCTGTGAGTCTGAATATCGAGCTATGGCCAACACTGCTTCAGAAATCATTTGGCTAACTCATCTCCTACGTGAACTTCATGCTCTACCGGACGGAAGACCGACTTTACTTTGTGATAATCAAAGTGCCTTGTTTCTCTCTCAAAACCCGGTTTCTCACAAGCGTGCCAAACATATTGATCTGGATTACCATTTTATTCGTGAGTTAGTCACCTCCGGGAAACTTCACACTAAGTTTGTTCCAACCAAGCTCCAAGTCGCGGGCATCTTTACGAAAAGCCTACCACGTCATCAATTTGAATTTTTTCATCATATGTTACGATTAGGTCCGCCTCCGTCTCGCTTGAGGGGGGATATCAGTCAAATGTAATTTTGTATGTTTGTGTTCATGTAACTCTTTTATAGGGTCTCTTATGTAAGTTTTTTCTTTATATATTCAATTGCCTCCTCCCGTTTTGGGCAGTGAGTCATTTTACCACAGTTTTTCATGGTATGGTGTTGAATTCGTGATGTTGATGAATTGGGTAAATAACAGAGGCAGTAGCTTTATGGTGTTGTACATACATGTTGTGAGATGGCTTCCTCCCTTTTGATTCAACTTTTCACTATTTTGCCTCTAGCATTGCTTTGGTAAAATTCAACGTTTTTGGTTGGTGCTGTTACATACATGCTGTGAGAAATTCTCCTTTTCGATTCAATTTTTGACCATTTTGCCCCTGGTGTTGCTTTGGAAAAATTCAACCATTTTTTTGGTGCTACCCTTGCTTTCATCTCAAGCCTTCATGTGCACAGTTCTTTCTTATGATTTAGAGATATCAAAGTTTATATTTTTCTCCATGCGTACACAGATGACTGCCGATCCACGGGGGGGGGGGGGGGGGGGATATAGTGGCGAGTCTAGAATAGAAAACCACATGGTTCACTAATTTTTCTATATATTTTTTCTATACAAGTTCAAAGAATTTTATACTTAAGGTAGGTCATTAAAAAAATTTCTATAGAAATTTAAGATAAATTGAAAAAATTAGGTGGGTCCTAGGACCCACCTTCCTTATACCTAGCCTCGCCACTGGGGGGATATGTCATCTTTCTCGGTTCCAACCTTGTCTCATGGTCTGCTCGAAAACAAAAGACTGTCTCGCGGTCCTCAACGGAGTCCGAATACAAAGCTTTAGCCGATACCGTGGCTGAACTCACTTGGCTGCAAACACTTCTTCGAGAACTCCAGGTTCCTACTCGCTAAGAATCTTGTGGGTTGATATAGTTTTTTTTATCTCATGTTTCTTTGGATGTAGATTTTGCTTTTATGATGGGGGCAAATGAGAAATGTGATGTGTATAGCTTTGGAGTTGTTGCACTAGCAGTAGTCATGGGAAAGCATACTGGAGAACTGATAACATCTTTACCAACATTGTCTGCTGATTATCCGGTGCCAACAAATGGGGGAGATAGTCGGATACCTCCTCCCTCGTCCCAACTTGAGAAACAAGTTAAGTTGGTTCTGATTCTCTCGAGAGCGTGTTTGAACTCGAATCCATGTGAAAGACCAACAATGCAACAAGTTTCAAATCTGTTAATGAAGGATCTGCTTTGAAATGGCATCTTTGGGCTGATCGATATAGTGTACTTTCAGTGTTCTTTTCTTTTCGTAAGTTCCAATATGAATCGTGTCAATACGTATTCATTTTAATGGCTTTTTGTTAAGAAACTTCACATGTATTTGTAGTAGTAAACATATAAGTCAACGAAGATTGCTATACTTCTAAAAACTCACTACCGGAGAAGCTATGTAAAATTTTGTTGGTATACTTTTTATATTTGTTTCAATTTTTGTTTATTAGTAAATTACATGATTCAAAAGGATTAATTATTGTAGTATCTTCATATTTTCAAAAAATATATATGTACATATTACCATACAACTTTATTCCCATGCGTGTGGGTAAAAAATATACCCTTTACCCTACCTAAGTCATTCAAATATACAAAATATATTTTTCTATTTTAGATTATGTGATGAGCAATCAAAGCTAATGGTGAAAGATAATGGAGAATTTTATGAAACACATGGTATTATAGATGAGACGTATCTTTGCAAATATGGAAAATTTTGAATATTTAGAAAAAATTTCAAATTCTTTTGAGCTATTGAATCCCAAAGTTGACAGCCTAAAACATTTACACAATGTAACTAACTAAATCATTCAAATAAAATATACATGATTTCAATTATTGGTATGCATTTCATTGATGTTTGAAATATGACTAGAATAGGAGTTCATGTGGATGGGTTTGGTATAACATGGATGTAACATTAATTTCAATTTCTTATCGGTTTATGTCTTATCTCCATTTCATTTCATTTCAACATGATATGGCATGACATGGATGTAACTAAATCATTCAAATAAAATAATTCAAGCTTTGACCACCTAGGTACCTCAAAAAGGTGACATCCATCTTCTTTCTGAAGATATCATATCACCACCCACTTTGATATAGAATATGAAGGGAAGAAAAAGTTAAGAGTGTAAATCTTAGCAACCAGAAACTAGGGATGAGAAAACGTAAATGTACTTTCAAAGTTCGGTTCTTTGCGGTTTTAGAACCGAAAAACCAGAACCGAACTCGTATTTTCGGTTCCCATATTTCCTTATTTTTCAGTGAACCGTCCTTCTTTTTCACGAATAGGATCGGTGATGCCCAAGGTGAGCTACTCGGTCTGATAAACCCCTTGTCTAGCAGCTCCTAAAGCTGCGTGGACTACTCCTGCATCTTTGGCAGTGCTAAATAGTATTTTGCTTTGGCTATCGGGGCCGCACCAGGAACTAAATGAATCCGGAACTCAACCTGTCTCTCAGGAGGCACTCCAGGCTATTCCTCAGGAAATACATCAGGAAAATCCCAAATGACGGGCGCATCACTCACCGTCGCCATGCCCTCAACTCGAGTATCCTCCACATAGGCCTTAAATCCATAACAACACCGTTGAATATATCTTCTAGCCTTCACGACTGAGCAGATAGACGTTCCGTGCTGAGTACCCTCACCCTGAATAATTAGCTCTCAGCCACTTGGGTTCGAACTCTGACTAATTGGTGCTCACAATTAATCATGACCCCATTGGGACCCGACAAATCCATCCTTATAATAGCCTTCGACCCTCACAACGGAATCGGAACCAAATCAATTATATATCTCTCATTGATTAAATTCAGAACACACACTCGATGAACCCTCGAAGTACTCACTGAGCCATCATCAGCAATATCTAACTCCAACGGGTAATCCAACATTCCAGGAGCATCACTAAAATTTTTGTTAAGTGCATGAGATACAAAAGATTGGGTAGCACCCGAATCGAACAGAACATGAGCAATCATACCATTAACTAAGAAAGTCCGTATATATGATCAAATAAAAATAGGAGCATAAACAAAGGAAATAATAATAAATAAGTTAAGGAGACATACTCGCAACCATATCAGGTGCTGCTTTCGCCTCCTTATTTGTTAACTGAAATGACCATCAGTGATACTCATGGTGGTCGGTGCAGACGCCGTCACTAGCCCTCCCGTCAGCCTCGGATAATCGGCCTTCTTATGGCCAGTCTGATTTCAATCAAAGAAAATTAGTACACCCTGGGGGCAATCTCTACTCATATGACCATTTTGTCCACTTTTGAAACAACCAACACCCACTGCTCGACATGCCCCACCGGGCAGCTTGCCGCAACGGCTCCTACCCAGCTGGCCCCTAGTGTGTGACTCAGAAGTCTTGGTCTTCTTAGTCTGGCACACTGCTATCTGCACCTGCTCCAGCTTGTGCTTCGTCTGAAGCTCCAACTCAATATTCAACTCCTGGGCTCTCGCAATCATATCATCCAGGGTCTTGCACCCCGAATAGCTCCCAAACTCTATGGTATCATGCTTCAACATGTCATGAAAGCTCATTTTGTAGCACCCAATTCCTGGTACGTATTTAATTTCATGAAAATGTTAGAATTTACTCTGGGACTTGGCGAGTTGGAGGCCTAACTCGTCGAGTAGACTCGACTGTTGGAATGGGGGTTTAAGTGACCTACTCGACGAGTCGGAAGACCTACTCGACGAGTAGGAGTTGTCTGGACAAAACCCTAATCTTTAGGGTTTGCACCCTATTTAAACACTTTGTCTTAGCCTCCATCGTCCCTATCACTCCCAGAGAGCTTTATATCGAAACCCTAGCCGTTTTGTATGTTCTAAGGCCATTTTGGGTGCATTTGGTGGATTGTGAAGCTTGAGAAGAAGGAAGAAGCTTGAGCGTTCGAGTTGAGGCTTGGAGATCCAGAGGTTTTGGTCCATATCCAGCTCAATCAAGGTAAAATGCCCCTGTTTTGGTCTTCTATGTATTTATTCATCTTTAGAAGCTTGGACTTGGGTACATTTAGGGCTTTCCAAGCCCATTTTCGGATTTGTGAGGTGTTCATGGAATCTTAACTTCAGATCTGAGTCATTGGAGGGGTCTCATGGCATAAAGGTGCCAACTTTAAGGCCATGAGAGCCCCATGCATCTTGTAGAACACCTTTTATGGCTTTTTGAGCCAAAGACCCCATGCATGTGCACCAAGTTTGGAGCTTTACGTGTAAAATGGACATTAGAAGGACAGATCTATGGTTTTGATGTGTTAAGAGCCATTTAAATCGATTGTATAGTAATGGTCAAGGTTGTACTTGACAAGTCGTTCTTGAGACTCGGCGAGCCGGGGTGTATTGACCACCAAATCCCTTCTGTGGATGGACCAGTTATTAGGATGGAAATTCCCTTAGTTGTTTAGACGCGTAAAGGGACATGGGAATCATAGGACTCGGCAAGTGTATGATCAGACTCGGAGAGTCCAAGGCAATCTCCCAACCTTTGAAGATGAACTCGACGAGTTGTTCATACAACTCGGCGAGTCATAGATTGGATGTATTCGTAGGAGGGAGATGAACTCGACGAGTTCAAGGTCGAACTCGACGAGTCGGATGAAGATAGTCCCGATGATGATTGAAGGAGAACCCTTCGAGTTCTTGCTAGACTCGACGAGTGGAGACCGGGATTGTATCGGGTTAAAGGGAGTATTGGCTCGACGAGTTGGTAGGCCAACTCGGCGAGTCAGGTCAACTGGATGTTGACTTTGACCAATATTGACTTTGACTGAATTGAGTTGACCCTGGTTTGGGTTGCATGTTCGAATTGATAACTTAGAAGGGTTGCCGTGTAGGGATTGAGGAGTCGAGGGGAGTCGACTTTCACGCCGAGGACATCTCAAACACTACACGACATCGAGGTGAGTTACCTTCCAGTAGAAGTGGGTCTAAGGCACCAAGGCCGGCCCACTGGTAATTGTTTAGTTGTGATGATTGTCTTTGTGATAATCATCTGGGTTGCTTGTGCTTGATAAATGTGTATGCTAGTATGCTATGTTTATGGGAGATAGTATCAGTAGGAGGGGACTAGTCCTCGATTCGGTCGCTAGGACCAATGGGTAGGTCGGACACCCCAGATATGTCTGACATCACGATTATGATATGCTATCGTATGCTAGTGGTAGGGGGTGAAATAGTCCCCATATTCGGCTGAGATAGACCGGAGGGTAGGTCGGCACCCCAGAATAGCCTGACATGGGTAGGTCAACACCCCAGAATGGCTTGACATGGGTAGGTCAGCACCCCAGAATGGCTTGGAATGGGTAGGTCGGGCACCCCAGAATTGCCCGACAATATGTACGTGGTTTTGGTATGTGGTATGATGGGGGAACTCACTAAGCTTTGTGCTTACAGTTTCAGTTTTGGTTTCAGGTACCTCTTCATCCAAGGGGAAGGAGTCGGCGGTGTAGCAGCGCATCACACACACACATACACACACATGATTTCCACACTGAGTTTCTGGAATTGTACTCTGATTTTCCTAACTCTTGATATTGTGATTATGAAACGTGACGTTATGGTTCTTATAAGTTGATGTAACTTGACAATGTTTGGTAAACTATTTCATGAGATACTTAATTTAAAAATGAAATTTTTGTACTTGAAAATTGGGACGTTACAAGTTGGTATCAGAGCCTTGGTTTGAGGGTTTCGGACACACCCTCCGGGTGTCTGGACTCAAACCGAGGGATTAAAAGATTTGTCGCAAGAAAACAGTTTTCTAAAATTTAAGTTAAAGAATTTTGAGAAAGAACAAGGTGTGCGATGCGTGCGACCGGCTGAGCTCAAGTAAGTTTTTCCCAAGATACCCATACTTGTTATGTTATGTTATATGATTTATGATTCTGAGAACTGCATGCTAGATTAGGGCTAAGGATCTAGGAGGATGCCTTATATGCCTGATGCATGATTCTGAGAATTGCATGCTAGAATAGGGCTAAGGATCTAGGAAGGATGCCTTGAATGCCTGTTGTATGAGCTGTATGCTAGGACTGTTTAATCAGCAGTAGGATATCCCGATTAGGTTATGCTTACTGTGGTTTACTCGATGCACGAATGCTGCTTGCTTTGTGCTATAGGGGTCCTGGCTAACTCTAACTAAATAGTGAGCGGATATGCAGCAGTATCTGCAAGCTATTTAGGG